GGGGAGACGACAGACCCTTGCCCCAGCGCAATCCCCCCGTTTCCCAGGAGCCCCGAGCAGCTGAGGCAGAGCACGTGCACACCAGCTGTGGGTTTACGTCTCCGTTCTCTGGGAGAGCTTACGGAGATTGCGCCAAGCGGGGAGACCGCCCCACCGAGGTCTGCTCCTTATGCCTCAGGGCTCCGACGGCTGACGAATTCCTGGAGCAGCGCTTGCACTTCTCCTCGCCGACTCATCTGGGCGGCCTTGCCCTGAAAGCGGCCTCGCTTCCCAGCTCCTCTGCCTCCCAGCAGCTCTGCCACCCTGCAGGAACAAGGGGACAGGCTGGAGGCTGCTCAGTGGCCTGGCCTATCCGTGCCCTCAGCCGCTTACTCTGCAGCCTCGGGACGTTTCCTCGTTTCACCGAATCCACGGAACACGTTACCTGGGACCTAAACTCTCAACTGCGTCAACAGGTCCAGCCAGAAGAAAGAGTCCCGCTTCTCTGTCATCCCCCACGGTCAGGAACAGCAGGGTTTCCTGCGGACAGAGGTGGACCTTGCTCCAGAAGAACCAGCACCCACCGTGTCCGGGGAGAGGACAGGCGCTGGCGCCAGGACAGACCCCAGCGCACGCCCAAGTTTGCGTGTTACTGAGACCGCGACTCGGACTGAGGGAGGGGGAATTCTGAGCCTTCCCTGGTGAGTCGCGTGCTGTGGGGGCAGAACGGGTACAGGGGTACCCCAGCGTACACTGACAGGGTTGGCAGTTGGACCAGATGATGCTTTAAGTCCCTTCCAAGTGAAATCACCCTCTAGTCGGGTCTGGCCTGCCCTAAACCAGCCAGTGAGCTCCTGTGCAGCCCTGGGGGGGCTTCTACAGCGCTCGGCGTTTTCACCAGACCGCCGAGGACTCCCCTGCAGACTGGGGCTGCTGGGGACACCCCCCGTGGAACTTTGGAAAGGTGACAGAGCTTGTGGCTGCGGGACAAGCAGAGCCTGGCCGAGCTACAGCCTGAGGGCAAACACCCGCGGTGGCAGGTCAGTCTCCAGCAGGGACTCACCTCTGTCCCGATCTCATTGGCGATGATGTTCATAAATTCAGAGTCACCCTCCTTCCTGTGTGGGCAGATGAGAAAACACCTCAGAAAGAAGCAAAATTCCCCTCTAGAGTCCAAAACATCAATCGGAAACCCAAAGTCTGGTCAGGCCGGGGGCTTTGGCCTCTTGCTGTTAGCAGGGAGGTTACTCCTTTCCTATGTCTCTAAACCCTCGTTGTGCGTTCCTGGGGACATACTGGGAATTATTTGTTTAGAGCTCCTCAGTTTTATCTGAAAGTATCAAGGGCAGAGAGAATCAGACGCTGTTATTTCTGAGCTGTAAAACCCAACCAACCCAGTGGCTGCATCGTAACACGTTCCCGTACCTGCACAACACACAGTTCAATATTCCGTTCACCCTGCTTGTATTTTTCCTTGGGAAACGAGCCTGAATAGGCCTCAGAGAGACACAACTGCCTGAAAACATGTGAGACACCCGTGAACTCCTTCCCCCAGCTCCCCCATACCTGTGTAGAACAAACAGCTGGCTCGGAACAGGTTGGCTCTTGAAGTCCCGGGCTATCAGAACCGCCATGTCCCTGAGCAGGTTCAAGTTGTTCTGAAAGAAAAGCCACCAGCTCGTCCTGCAGCTGGCGACGTCGGTGCCAGCCCCGAGCTGCAGCCCCAGAGACGGGAGCAGGTTTCACCATATCCAGAAAATCTGGGGCCCTCAATCCAATTGCCAGTTATCAATTCCCTCAGCCTAACCCGGGTCTAGAGGGAGCAGCCACACGTGCATTCCCCAGCCATCCCCTACCTTCTGGAGCAGCTTGACGGAGCTCTGCAGCCTCTTCACCGCCTCCACGTGCTCACCTGGCCCGTTTCTGAAAGAGCGAGGAGAACACAGATCAGGAGAACGCGGACGAGGAGAACGTGGATCAGGACAATGCGGATCACCACCCGAAGGGCAAAGAAAGGATTCCTTAAGGGAGCAAAAGCAGGTAACACGTCCCGTGGGGATGTACCCTGAGGGCTGTGCGATACCTGTCAGGAGGAACAGTAAAGATGGAACAATCGAAGTGGGAAGGGCATTACTTGAGCAGCGAGGTCAGAGCCTTCTCAGTGCTGTGACTTTGTTCGATTGACTTCAGCACTCGGCTTCCTGCCAGGAAAACCAAGTTGGTTTTGTTCTTTTTCCCTTTTTCTGTGCCAAGGAGTTTAATAACCTGAAAAAGAAAACCGCCCTGGTCAGAGAAGAACATGATTTTGCTTATACACACAGAGGTGGTCGGCTCCACTACACTAGGCCTTGGGAATTTCCTCTCCGCCACTGGAATCGGCCACTGGGTCAATGTACAAAAGGCCGGGAGAGGGATCCGGCGGAATTGATACAATTAGGGAGTGAAGGGCTGCACTCTGCAGTGCATCTGGAGGTCTCTGCTGGGACGCAGACCAAGAGATGACTGCAAAGAAACACAGGCAGCTCTCGCATCTGAGCTCCACCTCCAGCTACGGAGGATTTCTCATTTGTGACAAACACTCCAAAACGCCCCTCTGCCACAGGGACAACGCCCAGCAGGCCCCGGATCTCAGGGAATTCTGCTGTGCTGGGTCTGAACACGTGGCAGGAGGCCCCGGAGGCAGCTCAGCCGCAGCCCCCACCTGCAGGTCACTCAGGTTGGAGACGTGAGTCCCACAGCACATGTTGGAGTCCACGCCTTGGATGTCGACAACCCGCACTGGCCCCACGTGGTCATCGGGCAAACCGCGGCTCCTCACCTGGCAAAGGGACAACGGCCAAGCAGGTGACATCCACGCCGCCGTGGCTCTGCTCCCACAGATATCACCAGTTCTCTCCCCACCACTCACTGTTTCAATTTCAGGGTCGTCTGCAGCCAGTTCCCTCACCACCACGGGTACCCTCTCCCGGATTTTCTCGTTCACGCTCCTCTCCAGGGCCTCTGTTTGCTCTGCTGTCATGGAGGGGGTGTCCAGCTCGATGACACTTCGCTGGCGGCCCAGCTCCCTGCACCGATGCAGAACATCTGTTGCTGTAGCTGACTGCCAGAAGGTCCCTCTGCAGCACTAACGGGCATCTCACTGCCCGGAACGCGGTGACTGAAACACACAGATCTCTCCTCCCCCTGTGATGTACAGAGCACCAGCCGCACACCCATCACTTGGAGGAGGACAAGGCAGAGCAAATACCCAGCATCTTTCCAGTTCAGCCACCTCTCCCAGGCTCCCTGAGCTCGAGTGACATGTCCGAGAGCAAACTGCTTTTGACGTAGCAACGCCCAGCTCCTCGCGGCCCCGCACGGTGGCACACACCAGACCAGGCTGGGGTCAAAAGGAGCCTTTTCCCCACTCACCAGGAAGTTGTCTTGAAGCCGAACATCTGCTCTGCGATGGCGGTGATGAGATGCTGTCCTGGAAGAGACGTGTGAGCAGCAGCTTTGAGTGCCACTGGACACAGGAGAAGAGGTCTGCAGTCGGACTGCTTTCTGCTGCCATTCCCCATGACATCTGCACGTGCGCCAGTGCCGTGGGGCCTGTCCTGCTGCTCCGGGGCAGACAGAAGAGACAGCCATCGCGGGGGACGGGGGGGCTCGGACCTGAATGCTGCTGCATGTGGTCGAAGCGGCGCTCCCAGTCCAGCGACAGCAGCACCTCGGCGCCCGGCTCCAGCG